GTAAGAAACATAATAAAAAAATTTACATTGGACAAAATAATTAAATCTTTAGTGACAATTTTTTTTAAAACCTTGTTTATTTTTCGCTATTGCCATGCATGCTAATATAGAAAATTATTAATATAAGCCTCTTTTATGTTGCCAGCAATAAAAAAAAACTTTTTTCAGTCAAAATAAATTAAGTTACAAATATTTTCCTCTTTCCTAATTGGGTATTATATCCAAAGCAGTTCAGAGAGTGGTGGCACTGCTTGTAACAATATAAAATTGTCAATAATTTTGCTTTGACTGACATTTTACTTTTTTAAATAATCACTGAAGATTGTCATGTACATAAAATGTAGCGTCATTCCTTCTGTATACTGTTCCTGAACTCAACATGTGAATTTGTGTTCATTCTATTGGAATTTGAAATATACTTGTTCAAGATAATCGTGTTTCAAATTCTATCAAAATAGCTTTTTAAAAATAAATAAAAAAATATCTGAAATTTGTTAACATTATGAAGTGTGTGTTGTTGGATACTTCTATATGTGTATGAGTAATTAAGCCTACAAAAAGAGTTTCATGAGGTTGAATTGGGAAATTGTATATTACATAACAGTAGAATATTTTCCATATAGTGCATTTTAAAACAAAATGTTTTATGTTTGTTGGTTCAGTTGAGAGAAGCTTTTCAGTATGTTGTCTTCTTAAGTCTTTGTAGTGTCACATCTTTTTTTCTTGTGTTTCAAATATTCCTATTTTTATAACTTTATGTTAACTTATGAACTTAATGATTTTAACTTTGTGTTAAAATTTTTTTATTTGCCGTACCATTCTCTCATAATGTCAGAAGCTAATTTTGCAAATGTTATTAATGCTGATAGAAATTATAATGCTTAGATTTATTCTTACATTGGAATTAAAAGATCTATTATCCATCAGATTTTGAAGAAAAGTTTTAAGTTGAGATGAATAATTAAAAATCTTAGATCCATCTTAAAATGTGAAGACAGCCTCATGAAAACATTTTATTTAATGTAAGTAGTCAAATATAAATATTATTTTATTGAAGAAAATTACACAAATTTAATTATGTCTCTTTCAAATAAATTATAATTGAACAATAAAACCTAAATTTGAAATGTATTTCAAACTAGTTTTGAATCTACACATAGAAACTATTCCATTTTTCGATTGTATAAGCAGTACATTTGCAAAGTTAGAATTCTATATAATAGATGTGTACTTAATTTTTATTAGTGTATTAATCAATAATTTACAGTTTTTTCATAAAGCATTTTTAAAAATCACCAGATGTTGAGTTGGAATTTTTTTTTTTTTTGTAATATGACAGAAAAAATAATAGTTCCATGTAATGTATGCATTTTCCCTGTGAACATGTCAATAATATTTGGTTGAATATTGTATTGCTGGTGAGAGTTTGTATTGTTGAGGTGGCATCATCCTGAAATTTTAAAATGTAATAATTTAAATTTGTTTTAAAAAAGGAATAATACATTTTCACATACTCTACCTTAATGAAAACCTTATGTATGGGTGTTGAAGTTAATGGTTCTCACTGAACACAGTATAAAGCTCAAATTTATTTTTATTACTTAGAATAATAATAATAATATAAACTATGGTCAGCATCTATGCAATTGTATTTTTAGATGTCACGTTTTCTCTGAAAATGTGACCCTGTTATTCAAAATGTACAAAGAAGGTTATAAGCATAATATAGTTCTAAATAATTGCAAATTTAGTTGTAATTAAAGAAAATTATATGATACAAATCTGTTGGCTTGATTTTGTGTTTAGCTTTTTTTAGAAGATTGAGAAATAAAAAACATAAAACTCTTTTACAAGTGTTCGCCTTTTAGAAATTTTTGTTCGATTCTCCTTTCTTTTTTAACAGCTGTTATTTTTAAAAGAATGTCTCTCACCTGATATTAATGAGCCTTATCTTTTTAAAAAAGTGTCAGTTCTTGATTAAGGAATCTACCATAATCTATATATTATCTTTTGTAAGTTCAAACTTAAAAATTCCTTATATATATTTATATATAAGAACCATATTTTTCTTTTTCAAACAATATTTATCTGTTTGCCCCAAAATTTTAAATATTACTAAAATCTTATTAAAAATTTGCTACTTTAAAAACTTGTTTTCGTTAAATAATATTCTTTATTCACCTTAATTTGCATATTGTAGGTTAAGTAAAAAGAAAACTTGAATTTATAATAGACATATGAATAGAAACAATAGGGCAAAAGGAATTTTGCCATTCAGCCAAAACTATGAGCATGTTGGATGTTTTTAGAAAGAAATTTTAATTGCATTTGTGATAATTAGTTTCCATATTATAATGTGTTAAATATTTAATATAATTTCTATGATTAAATTTGCCTTAGACAAGTTTTTATTTAAGTATTTGAAAAAGTAGTTAAATATTAGGTTGAAGAAATAATGCTTTCTTAATAATCTCTTAAAACACAATTCTATTTACATGCTTACAAAGTACATGTAATTTTTTATTTGTGAACTTGGAGAAAAAAATGTGTTTGCCTGTGTGTGATTCAAGGTATCTATGCAAAATAGACCATTAAATAAATACAGGTTAACTAAAGGCAGCTATAACTACTACCTTCTTTAAATATAATTAATATTGAATTAATTACATGAAAATGTATGTTAGAATTAATTAAATGTATGATACTAAACCAAATATTCTTACCCAAACATGCATATAAATTAAATTCTCTCTTCAAAACAATGTGCTTGGGACAGTTTTGCATGGTTGAACCTCATTAAGACAAATATTTAGGATAATTTAAAAAAATTTTAAAGTAAGGATTTCAAATAATTGAAATAATTTTTGTAGAGAAATATTTTAAATTAATTAATAAAGGTACATTTCTAACATCTCTGTATACACGCATGATTATAGTATACATACAGTAATATTCTTGCAAAAAAACATAATGAAGAGATAAAACTTAAAAAATACATATATTTACCTTTTAAGGTTAGTCTTAAAAAACTTTTATAGACTTTGGTTTTTAATTTTGTATTCAACATTTGTTAATAAAAGAAACTACTTTTTCCAAATTTGATATCAAAAGCCCAATTGGTATTTTCTTATTGAGAGAGAAGCCACAGAACTGCTTTTAAAGCAGCTTCACTGAAGGATATGGAATTCTTTTCTGTTTCCCCAAGATCATCGCCTAAGATAGGACAAAATTAATGGTCACCCTTGGGTGACTACAGATCAGCAATTAAACTGTTTGTCTGTTGCCACCTGATTGTCATTTATTCATAAATATGAATATTTCCGGATGTTCAGAAAATTATTTTAATTTACGATTAAAATTTTTCTTCATTTTAGAAATGAACGTTTTAATGTTTACTATATGTTGAGAAATGCTTTAAGTGATGTCTTACTTTATCAATATCAACTTTTTTAAGCTGTCTAAAATTTTTTACAAAAATGGCCGCTGATCTGCAGCAAAATTCTTTTATTTTGCTCTATAGCACCTAGTGGCACCAATTCCTCGCATCTTCAAAATGGTGGTATAACCTATTGCAGATTGATGTGAATTAAATGTTAGCAAAACTGACTAAAAGTTTTCCTCATTATAAAATATTTTATAGAAAGCAGAGCAGTTGGCATTTTTGCTACATACATGAATTATTGAAAGAAAAAACAATCTTTGGACATATTGGTGTTAGTTTTTAGAAAGCTGCACACTAATGTAGCCTAGAATTTACTTAGTTTAACGTAACAAGAAAGTATAATTGGAACTGACTAGAATTTTTTCGCCAGTTTTATCATGACGTTTAGTTCGTATGTGTGTTCTGAGCACATTTTCAATGAGGTAGCAAAATATTATGAGCTGTTTTTATAAATAATATAATAGTGATATCAGCCTTTAAAAATCAACTATTTTAATGATTATTTGAAAAATTTTATGCAAAAAATTAGTTTCATCATATCCTGATACTTACAATTTCATTATACGTTTTTTTTAATAACCAACAATTATTGTCATATTTAATTTAGAAAGCGTTTTAGATCTGTTGACTCCTTTTTGCAATGAAGCCTTATATCTTTAAAACAGTTAAAAAAATTTTCAATTTATGACCAACATCTAATCAATCTGTGATATAGATCTTGCAACCAGCTCATGACAGTTTTAGGAATTGTTAATTCTTTCTCCTGTAAAATTTTCCTGTCATAAATAGAAAAGTTACTAATTCCTAGTGGAAGCAAGTAGTACCACATTTCCCTTTGTTAAAAGAATTGAGTCTAAACTAATATACCTGTAAAACTTTGTCTATTATGTCTTCTTAAGAATGTCAAAAACTCAAATTCAATAAAATGTCGTTTGCCCTGCACTCCACTCTTATCAAGATTACAAATAGTCTTTTTACTGTCCTGTATTTTAAATTCCAAGGGATGCTGCGCTGGCCAGGGGATCTTTTCTGAGTGTGGATTTTAATGCGTAGGAAGTGATTAGTTTGTGAACAAAAACATATGTTGATAAGAGTCCCAAAATCGCAAACGAAAAAAGGTGTTAGTCTCTCAGTCGATCTTAAATTAGCAAAATAAAAAATTTATAGCTACTTTTCTCAAAATTCATTAAAAAGTCGCTTAGTTAAAGTTGGTCACTTAAAAAAGTCAAAAATCCTCCGTCTACTTATCTCTTAATTAACGTTTTCTTAATTGAAAAAAAGTTTATAAACCTAAAAGTTATGCCTTTATTCTTAATATTTTTATGTGTTATAGTTTATGTTAGCAAAACGTTTAATATACTTTCGATTATAAGGATTTCCAAGCACTCAAGTTAGTGATATTTTTTTTCAATTAAAAAGAGTTTTCATAATCATCCTTTGCTTATTAAATATAGACCATCAGAGCTTTTGAGAAGTAATAAAGGTGATTTTTTTTCTTCGTATTTGTGTAATGTACTTGTATTTTACAATAATATTTAAAAATGAAATTAGCGAAAAATTTATGAAAGAATATTTTATTAAATAAAGAAACATTTACTTAATAGATAAATAGGACAATACTGAACAAATGCTTTTTATATTACAATTGAAACACAGATTGGATTGTGAACATGCATTAGAGTTGTAATGTGTTAAACTTGTGAGAACATTCAAAATTCACTGTGTAGGTTCTGAAGCTCCAACTTTATTTAAGACTCTGAAGGTCTAACTTTATTTAGAAGTCTTCTGAACAGCAACACATGAGGTTCTATTAAAATAAGAATTAACAAACTTATAAAAAAAATTAATACAATTGTAACCAAAATTTAAACAAAAATTTCCAAAGATATTTCTAAACAGTTTTAGTCAGACAATTAACTAAGGTAATTTCTTTTTAGAAAAAAGAAAAAAAAAAACCTGGGTCATTCTTTTAGGAAATATTTTAATGAATGTAAATAGTTTGAAATGCTCTCTAGTTCTCTCCAGACTATTAATGGAAATTGGAATGATCTCTGATTTGACATATCAAAATGTGCCAATTTACTAGTCAAATTATTATTACAGCAGTGGAATAAAGATGCAAATAACCACAACAAAATTGACTCATTAGTTAAAATTTAGAGCAAAGTTTCTATGCATGAAAAAAAAACTTTAAATATCATAAGTTTTGTTTTTCATTATTTCATACACTAATTTTATAAAAAGAACCTTTTATGCAGTAAATTGAAACAGCGAAATAGAAATATCGCTCATCCATTTTACATTAACCTACCTCTGATATCACTAAAATTATCACAGACTTTGAGTAATACAGTAGGGAACCGATTATCCGGAACGATCGGGACCATCACTATTCTGGATAACTGATTTTTCCGGTTTTCTGAATCACTACAAAAAGCCGTTTTTTTTTTTATTGTTTAACCCAACTAAAAAAAAATATATATATTTGGAAATAATCTTCAAGAGAAGAAAAAACGATGAAGTTATACACTAATGATTATTTCCAAAATGATGGTAAGGTAAACATCTTTCAAAAAAGAACGAAAAATCCTGAAATCTTATGAGGAAAAAAATATTTTTTTTAAAAAAAATGGCCAGAAAATTTATTGAATTTCGTTCCGGTTTTTTGGTTTTCTGATTTCCGGATAATGGGTTCTGTACTGTAATAGATAAAATTAATGTTGACAAGAAATCGTAATAAAATAAGTATGAGAGTTGCTCATCTATACTATGTTGAAAGGCATCAACCTATTTCTGATACCACTAACATCAAAACAAAAGAGATTATATGCATGATAGTTGTAGCATCAGATACCTATCTGCTCATGAGATGTAGTCCAGTAAAATTCTATGGAAGGTTATTACCAAAGAATTTTTTTTATAAAAAGCTTTATGTTATTACAAAGGACATCTAAAAACTTCCTGTTTTGAGGGAAAACTTCCTGTTTTGATTTACAAGGCAGAATTGAATTACTTCTAGACAGGTAGGCTAGGCATATTTTTATGCTGTATTAAATAAGAACAATCACTAGAGGGGTGAACAAATAGTTTATAAGATATAAGGGTTTTACGTACAAATTTGTACTACAATTTGTACTTTGTTATATACTTTTTGCTCTAAATTGAATGAGTCTACACACAATTTAATAGATAGTTCACAAGTTGAGAGAATTTTGGTGCATAAAAAGTACTTTTTTGACATGTACTTATTTATATGCTTCATATTACCAATAGTTAAGAAGTTATAAGAGTTTTACAAAAAGTGCAATTTTGTACTAGCACTTATTTACACATCTTAGTGCTACGTGAACAAATGAATTATTATTTCAAATGCATTTTTTCTCGTTTAATCAAATGGGACTTTTGAGGGAATAAAAAAGATGGATATTTCTGAAGTTGAAATGGGGTTATTGAATAAAATGCACTATTTGTAAATTATCTTAAACTATTTATCCTACCAACTCGAGTTTTATCTTATTCAATTCAGCACAAAAAAATTTGATCAGAAAATTTAACTTATATGGCTAGACAGCACAGCAAAGATCTTTTCTATGAAGTAAATTCCCAACCCCTTATAATTACTGGATAATGGTTGCTAATTATACATTCATATAAGTAATTATTTTCTAGGAAACGGTGATTTGAATTGAACTACTTTGTTTGTAACGTTTATTATTTGTTCACAATCAGTTAAATGTTTACTATTCAAGTGAATTCATTGAATAACTAACGAAAATCAGAATCTAAACTCATACTAAGGAGAAATAAAGGAGGCTAGAATAAATAATTACCTGGATTATGCATCATAAAATGTACCCATTGAGGAGATTGCAAAACACCAAGATTACGCCACTCAGTTTCTGTCATCAAATGGTTTCTGGGAACTGATTCTGCTAGTTCTGCAGGCAAAATAACATGCCTGGAATATTAAAAATATTTTAAATATGATTGCAAATATTACATTCATTGTATATTCTTTTACAATGTAATAATCTATTATTGGAAATTTTTTTTTCAAAAACAAATAATCTAATGTGTGAAGTAGGGGGGCCCAAACTTTTTGAGAGGAGGGCCACCTGTACAAAAGGTAGAATAACGGAGGGCCGCTTGCATATTTAGTCATGTTAGTGGGAAACATGATGATTTTTATGTAAACATTAGTGTTCTAAGCACTAAGTATTTTTATCAGTAAATTTAATAACATATTTGCAGAAAATTAAATACTTTGAATTTATTTAAAGCTAAAAAAACATACTTTTTATTAAAAAAAAGCTTTTTCCATTTTTTACAATAACTAATTTACCAATATATACCAAAAAGATGTTTACAGAATGAAAGTACAAAAGATAATGCATTTCATACAGTGATATAAATCTGAATTAAATATTTTAATTAAAGAAAACTTATAATGTTTAAACAAAATTAAAATGAACTTTTTTATTGCGTTCAGAAGCTTCCGCAGGCCACACATCAACAGTCGACGGGTTGCAGGTTGAGCACCCCTAGTGTAAAGAATGCTACTTCAATTCATAACATTCAATTGATAAAAACAGTGGTCTAAGTCCCTTTTTCAACACCAATAACCATGATCATACAAGATAAAACTAGATTTCTTTAGAAATAAAAAATTCCAAGATGCTTTTAAAAATGGCAACTCCAATTTAAAAAATGACACTTATCTTACTATATAATGACTATAATCTTACTTCAGCTCTGTCAAAATAAATTATATTAACATAGATCTTGAAATATAAGTCGATGCCTATTTTTGATTAGGAGATAGCAAATTTCTGGAGTATCTGCAGTATACGTCGATCGCTGTCGATTATTATACCTTAAGGCGCACGGCACAAAAAGTGGATTGAAAAGTTGTTGTAAAATATGGAATTTTGAATCCTTTCGATGGGGGCGAAGGCAATTTTTCATTGGTCTCGGCATATGACAATGAAATAGAATCCATTGCAGAGAGGGATCATATGACAACACTGCCAACATTAATGACTCGGACACAGATAATACTCTGAAATCTTTAATTTGTAGCTTTATAGGATATTTAAAAAGTTTTCATTTTGTTATATTTTGAGTAAATAAACAGCTCATAACCGTGTTGTGTTGCCACTGGAAAGTAGACCCACAGACAGTGTTTAAACTATTTCATTCAAATGACAAAGTAAATAACATGCCTAGTTTATAGTACAATTAAATTTGATTAAAACATAATATTAAATAAATCGTGTATGATGGGATCAAAGAATTAACTATTATATTTGAAATGAATAAAAAAAAATTAACATTAAAACATTTCTAGTGATATCAAACTTTTTGTACCTGTATTCATATTTATCATCAGTATACTTGTCTGAATAGAGGATTGATTCTCGAGTCATATTTCTTTCTGTAAAAGAAACATCATTTTATTTACAGTTATAAACAGAAAAAAATTTATTCAATTGTATTGAATGCATTTTACATTCATGTAANACATAATATTAAATAAATCGTGTATGATGGGATCAAAGAATTAACTATTATATTTGAAATGAATAAAAAAAAATTAACATTAAAACATTTCTAGTGATATCAAACTTATTGTACCTGTATTCATATTTATCATCAGTATACTTGTCTGAATAGAGGATTGATTCTCGAGTCATATTTTTTTCTGTAAAAGAAACATCATTTTATTTACAGTTTTAAACAGAAAAAAAACAGGGTGTTAATTTATTCAAATGTTATTGAATGCATTTTACATTCATGTAATCAGTAAAATATAAAAAACAGCAGAAACTTTTCAATGAACCATTAGGCAGATGTACTGCTGTTTTATTGGATGAAATGTTGGTGACAAGCTTTTTCTGAAGCATTATAATACATTATTCAAATAGAAATATTGAATAATATGTTAAATATATTTCATGTTTTCAAGTATAGTTACTTTTCTATGCAATTTGACATTCTGCAAAGGACAATTTAGCAGTGAAAATTAAAGTAAAACCAAAACTCGATTTCGAATATTAGCTGATACTTTCAAATTATTGTGTCTTCTTCAGCTTTTTTTTTTAAATAACAGTATGTCACTTTAACTCAGTATAAATTCTTTTTAAAATATATATAGCACAATAAAGACAAAAAGGATAAAAGAAAAAAACAAAGAAATTAATAAGTTTTATTTATTGCACATAAGCTGCAAGTATATAGAACTCATAAAAAAGGTTAAAAAATTCATGTTTTTTGGCAAAAAAACACTGTTTGTTAGCTCTTTGAATATGCCCTTCAATTGTAATTACGTGCCCTACTAAAAAATAATTAATTAATTAAAAAGGTCTATTTCCTCCTTGAAAATTCATATAGCTCTCGATAGATGTAATATGCTTACGACTAACAGATTTCAAATACAAGTTAGCCCTTAGTTCGGGACGATTCCATACTCTAGGCTTTTGCAGCACCTATCATATTTTCTCTTAATTTCATTATTCTTAATATGATGTTATTACAATTCATAATTTTGATGAATTACTTTTTGATGAGCTTGATGCTATCCTAAATACACATCGTTTTTTTGCTGTTATAATCGTTTTTTTTTTTATATCTATTTACCCAAACTTTCTAAAACTTTGATCTTAACTTAACATGACACAAGAAACTCGAATTTGAATTACCACTTTTCGATGCGCCTTATTCATGATGATTTCATAGTGAAACAATGTTTTTTTTAAATTATTTTTTCAGTCCTCTCTGGCTGTTCTTTTTTTTTTTTNTAAATACTGTTATTTTTACTATGATGTTTTGACAATATGGAAATTTGAGTAATTAATCTTTTAAATGCTTGTTTTATGATGATACCATTGTTAAGTTTTGCTGGTTGCTAATAGTTTCTTGACAGCAGTTTATTGATTTTCATATTTTCGAAATACATGTTATTATGACACAAGAATTTTTAATTTAATCCAACACTTTATAGTCCCGCAGTGGACTGATTGTTAAGACAAGGTTCCCAGTAGATCACCGAAGTCGAGCATCACTGGCTGCGGTCAGTGTGCGGGTGGGTGACCACTTGGATCAGCCTGCGTAGGGACCGAGGGTGTGCGGCATTGGCCCTCGTTAAACTGTGCTACCGTAAAGTGCTCGACTTCGCGTGCAGGTCGTCGGGCTACCATCCCCTCCGCAGAGGATCAAAATTGTGATGGCATGTCTTCAGATCATCCTCAGGGATGTTTCCCAGACCCTCTCCAATAGCCCATTGTGCAGCTCTAGTGCGACGTAAATGAACAACAACAACCAACAGTTTATAACACTCCATTCACAATGATTCTGTCTTAAATACACGTCATTTTCAGAAAATTTTCAAATTTTGAAGTTATTAATTAGCATCTGAGACATCCATTTTTAACACACTCTATTCACGTCGACTCATCGTAAATCTACATTGTTTGCTAATCTTATTTTGCTGGTTATATACTGTTTTTTAGTTATTTTTATGTTTTTATTTTTAATATGCTAAACAAATTTTATATTTGAGGTTCCACTTTTTGATGAGCTTGGTTAACAATGATTCTATCGTAAATCCAAACTATTTTCTGTAGTTATGCTTTTTCATCTATTCTCACATAGCTGCTATCTAAAATGTTAATCATTTTAATACAATGTTATTACAACACACGAATTTTGAATTTAATGTATTAACTTTAGTCATTCAGTTTGTAATGAATACCTCATAAATGTACCTTGTTTACTGGCAGTTATTTATCATCTTTTGGGAGTTTTCATGTAATCACTCCGGAAAGCGCTGGACAAGGCATTAAAAAAAATTTGACATTTTTGAATGCTTGACTTTCTTCTACTTTCACGATATTCATAACCAGTAAATATCTTTAAAAAACAAACAAACATTATTTCTGAAGAAATATTAGATATGATTCCAGTTCTTGGTTAGAGAATTGAAACTAATAGTGCTCCCATTTCTGTACTTCATTTGTGCTTTATTTACATTGTTTTTCACTTCAGTTTACAAGTATTTAGTAACGAGTATCACATGCGTAGTCATAAGTTAGCTATGGAATTCTCTGTGTATCCCCTAAATATTCTGAATGAAATTTCTAAAAGGTACCAAAAAATAAAAAAAATTTCCTAAATGTATATACTGCATACTGAAAAGTACTTTTACTTAACAGAAGGGTTTTAGTTTTTTAAAAAAAAAAGAGCTATAAGGAAAGATTTCTGTAACAAGATCTACGGCAGAATAATTGCCAAGTTTTAGCAACTTCCAGGCAGGGACCTGTAAGAAACTAAGAAAACGGAGAATGGGAGCAACTTGAAAATGCATAATTTGTAGGCATTCCTGGGAAGGGAAAACTTCCATATCATGATCTTTAGCACAAAAATCACCAAGTCTTGGCAACCTCTAAGCAGCAGCCTGGGAAAAACTAGAAAAAAAAATCATCCCTGGAAATTATTACATATTACTTTTTAAAAAAAATATGCAAGTTAAAAAATATCCATTTGGTGCCTTGGCGATTGTAGCTGCAGAGACATACTACAATACAGAACTATCTCAAACTCACAAAATAAATACACATTATAGAGCAAGCATCTTAAAAACATATTTAACACACACACAGATGTCGTTAAGGGATTATCGATTTGTTGTATCCCTAGGGGATATTTCAGTTTCGTTATCTGTCGCGATATCTGCAATTGCTAAAGTGCCAAATAGATTTTAAGCTTGTAAGTTTTTTTTTAAAGAAGACATGTAGACCTTTGCTTGGGATGGCTATGAGTTTAATCCTTGGAGTGTGTCCCTTTCTGCGTTTTTTTTTTTAGTTTCTCGCAGGCCACAAATTATTCTGTCACAGATCACGATGCGGAAATCTCCCCTTTTGGAAAGTTCGGAAATTTCTTTTATCCCTAAATCTAGAAATACGTTTCACAATAAAACGTATGTGTGTGGGCTAAAAGAAAAATTCAACATTTGAGGAAAATAGCTAGCAGGAGTAAAGATTAATATAAAGAGACAATACATATGGATTAATATAAATACATTCGAAATATATTAATTACCATTCTTAAATTATAAAATAAAAATTAAAGCCAAATAGAAATCAAACAACATAATTAAAATTTAATAATTAAGAATTTAAAATCTAGGGGATTTTTGATATTTCCCCCCAATCTGGTGATTGTTTATGCTTTTACAAGAAATAGAGAAAATGACTTAAAAGTGAAAAAAATCGAGATAGAAATAATAGGAAAGAAGAATATGGAGTAGAAGTACATACTTGTAAATAGAATCCAAGGGGCATCCGATTTTGCACCCTAACCTTACCTACAGAGAATCGTTTGGACACTAACTATTATTAATTCAAAGGAACCAAAAAGATTAAAGAACTGCGTCTTTACTCTTTAGTACTGACCAGAGCACAGTACTGATTTATTTTTTCGCGCGAAATATAAATAAATAAATGAGAGATGTAGTCATTTCACTTCAGTTTTTAGTTCTAAAAAAATCATTTATAAGCTTCGTTTTTGCTGCTTGAATACAAAATGTACAACAATCAGCCAAACAATCAATCAAGTATCATTTCAATCACTCCTCGCTGGTTATGAGCATGGTTTTGAAAAGCGCTAGAAATATGGAGTGTTTAAAATCTGTTACCCGTGAAAATATATGTTTTACTTACGTATTAATGAATTCATTTAATTAGACCTTCCAATTGACATTTATTTAAATTTCATAAATTTACAGTTGAATTTTCAAATGGAAATTTTTGGTTGAAGTAAAAAAAGTTTTGAACTTTTCGTAACGAGCAACTCAAAAAATAAAAATACACATTTTGTGAATCAACTATTCTAAGTAGAAATTTAATTTTTGGGTAAAGTTTGATGACTTCTAAGAAGAATCATATCAGATCAAGTAAACTTATAAAACATAATTATATTTCAGACAAGATAAGAACTATATATGTTGATACAATAAAAATTTTTGGATCTTTTAATTGAACTTGAGTGCCCCTTGGATTAGGCACTATAATTTTGGAGCGTTTACTGTAATTGAAATCTTCCATTTTTCTGTTATTTTAATAGTTATTTAATTTTTGTTGTTGAGAGAATCCCCTGATGTTTAACTCATTTTCCATGATTTCTGCAAGAGCATAGAAAATTGCAAAATTATGAGGGGTACCTTATTGTAAGCTTTTACTGCAGTCTTTTACCACCACCCTGGAAGTGTGTGTGGGGGGGGGAGTCTCTCCCTTCCCACCCTGTATATATATTTATATATATAGTATTTACCAGGTCCCAGTTATCTGAACCTCACAAAATGGCAATCAAGAAGTCAAACTTGGAATTTAATCTTCATGATTCAAAATTAAAATAAAATTAATTAAAGAAATTATTTAACTGTAAATTATTAACCTCTCATACCAGTATTTTATTAAATTCTGTTTAACTGCTTTCTTTCTTTAATTCTGTTCGCTGTGACATTAGAAACCAAGACTTTTATCATCGGTCAGCATAAATTTCTTCTGTGGGGGGATGAGTAAGATTTGGTAACAGTTTTAACCAAGAGAATGTTAATGTGAATGTTACTCAGAATTCAGACACAAAAAATTAACTATTTTTTTAATTGTAAATTTAATTACATAAATATTGAGTTAAAAATTGTTATCTTGAAAGGGGCTGTTTCTTTCATTTATAAAATGTAAGGAGGCTAAAGTACCCTCTGTCTCCCCGGTTCTCCGTTCCCTGCCACCACCTCCTAAAAAAATGGCATGGTGGCCACTCTCTCTAGAATTTGAAAAACCTGCAATTCTCAGGGAATTTCAAAATATCACTGGAATTCTCTGATAAATTGGCAGTTTCTTCTAGAAATTTTTAAAGTATAAAGAAATGGACAGTTTTATACCTGGGTGATTCTCTAAAAGGGGATATTTCCATATCGTGATCTGTGGCAGAATAATCGCCAAGTCTTGGAAACTTCCAAGCAATGGCCCGCGAGAAACTAAAAAAACCATCGCAGAAAGGGACCAACTCAAAAAGTATAACTTGTAGCCACCTTTGTGCTAGAAGTGACATGTTTTTTGTTAAAAAATTAGTAAGTTTAAAATCTATTTGACACCTTTGCGATTATAGTTGAGGCGGCAGATCACGATACGGAAATATCACCCTCCAAAAACCTAAGGATCTCGTGTCTAAATAAGGATTGAGTTCATGTAACCTCCTTATCTCCCCACTTTCCCTGAGTATTCATTTGAAGTTTAGAACTTCAACTGAATTTTTTCATATTTGAAGTTCTAAACTGATGTATGTAACCAGTGATGAAATACGAATCATTTAAGAACTGCACTCTTAAAATATTTTCGGTATTTCTTAAAAGAAAAAAGTAACAATTATAGAACATAATAGGAACATAAAATAGGATGTATAAACAATAATTTATTTTTCTTAATTTTTTAAATATTTCCAAAAGTCATTCCTGGTTTATTCTGCATTGTTTTTATTCAAGTATCGTCAGCACTATTGTTATCTCATAGTCATTTTATAACCACTGGCTTTGGGTTTCAGTTTTTTAAAGGTAATCCCATTAAGGAAATAATCATTATTTTCTACAATCAATATGTTTCTTTTGTGCATACAAATTATATTCATATGGCTTAAGCTTCTTTCAACTTCAGCAAAACTTACGACTACAGTTCTCAAAATATTCTTTGCCTTCTAAGTACTCTTATGAATTATATGATTGTCCATGTTTTTGAAAAAAAATTTCTATATTATACCTATAGTAATTGATGTTTATTCAATACTTAAATGAATTTTTTCATATTTTTTTAAAGTACTTCCAGTTTTTAAGAATTTGCTAGTATGTTTCAATCTATTCTTACATATTACAATTTGTTGGTAAACTTATTTAAATTAATTAAGTTTATTATCATTTAATTCATATTCATCATTGCTATTTTAATAAATAATTCAGTTTTCTTGAATTTTAATTAATTATTTTGATTTTCTATTAAACAAGAATTTTTTTCTTTAATTAAGGATTCTTGAAATTCTGAAATGTTCTCTTGAAAATCAATTCATATTTATCTTCAGCCTATGATAGTTAATGATAATTTTTATTTCTTTGTTTTTGTAGTTTTAAAAATAATAGATATTAAATTTTTAAAATTTGAAAAAGTGGCAAATTTTTACCAAGGAAATTTTTTCTGCTAAATATGATGCATGTAAATTTTTTTTTCCGTATAAATATATGAAAATTTTTAAAATTGTGCTAATTTAAATCATGAAAATTCGGTAATTTTTTTTTTTTTTTTTTTAAATTTTACTCTGGATATCCCAGGGAATTTGGTTTTATCTGGACAGTGCCCACTTTGAAATAGTTGCATTGAAAAAGTAAGTGATTTATATATATCACACATATGTTTATATAGGTTTTATTCTGCTCTCTCATACAAATAATAATAAATTTAAAAAATAATCAATAAATTATATCAAGCGTGATTATTAAAAGATTATGTGATTATTGAAAGATGTATAAGCTAAAGTTCTAAAGTAAACAAGCCTTGAAATTCAACAAGTTATGCCAGTCAATCAATTTTTTCTCAGTTTGCCAATCAATGGACCTTTACTAATAAAGCAACAAATTTCACAATTTGTGTTTTTTCAAGTGGAATCAGTACATATTTTGTTCTTTAGCTTTAGTTAGTTTATAATTTTAAATTAATTTATATATATTTTTTTAATAAAGTCTCATTTTTTAGATGCTTAAATGGAGTTAGAAGAGTATCGCCAACCATGGGAAAATAATCGCCATTGGGAGGTGAAAAAGGAATTTCTCCAATTTTACAAAGACTTTTTCCCTGAAGATAAACTACAATGTTTAGCTCAAGTATATTCAAATGTTGTATTGTTACAATGCAGGTATATTTTCGATGAAATAGTATTTTCCTGATTTATAACTAGACTTAGGCCATTTGGGCTAATCCACTTGGTTGTAATTTACATTTATTGCATTGAGTTATTTAACAACTTTTTAACTATATTTATAAGCATTAAATAGTCTTAAAATTTCTAAGTTTTTGCAGTAATGCAATTAATTTTAATGTAAAATACCTATTATGGTAGTTAACTTAGCTATGGGCAGAAGTTGGGTTTTTGCCGTCAAAAACTGGTTTTTGACATGACAGTGGTAAAAACCGTGTTTTTACCGGTAAAAACCGTCAAAAACCTACTGTTTTCTTGAATTTATGGCATAAAGCAGGCAATATAATATTTTCACATAATTGCCTTGTTAAATGAATGTTGTATATGATTGCTATTGATTTTGCAACTANCATTTATTGCATTGAGTTATTTAACAACTTTTTAACTATATTTATAAGCATTAAATAGTCTTAAAATTTCTAAGTTTTTGCAGTAATGCAATTAATTTTAACGTAAAATACCTATTATGGTAGTTAACTTAGCTATGGGAAAAAGTTGTTTTATTTATTTATTTTATCTTTAGCCTAAATTAGTTAAAATAGATCAATTTAATTTATTTTTGTTAATTACAATAAATTTTAACATTGTTTTTGTGTTACTTATAAAAAAAAATGTTTTGCAAATATTGAGAGTTTTGGGTTAAAACTTTGTAATTCTTTTGTCTTTGAATTTTTCACACAGAATGAGAAAGGTATAAAACCGTTTTGTGAATTCAGATGTACAGTGTAACAAAAAAACACAAAAAAAAAACAAAAAAACAGACCACCCTGAAGAACTTCAAATTTAATGATCAGATTTTTATGATCTAATACTTTATATTAATGGCTCGAGGGGGTGACCTCCAATATGCTAATTAATTAGAGAATGTGATACTTTTAAGTTATGAAATCAGTCTCAAAAAGCTACTTTCTCAGAATAAACATACTATTTTTTCAAAAGATTCGGATTTCTGACCCTAAAAATATTGGGGGTAGCCACTATATGGGAATTATGCTCCCAATAGTATGGTCAGGAAGACACTCCAAAGTTTTATTACCAATTAATATTACTTTTCATATCTTTCTTCATATCTCACAAACTTTTAAGGCGAGTTAAAACATTTTGCTCACAATTATAAAATTCGTTTAGCGAGATAAAACCATATAAAAAATTACTTTTAGTAATATTTATTATTTTTTTTCAATAATAATCGAAAAAAATTTGAATTGTGAGGTATACAATTTTTTACATCATTTAAACGAATGTAATTTAGGTAACAAAATACAGAGTTTGAATGAAATCGGTCGAATTCCTGAGAAATTGAATTTCAAAAAAATCAGATTGTTGAAATTTGATTTCTCAGGAACTTATCAACTGATTTTGCTCGAATTTTTTGTTTTTCCATGTAAAATTACATTTTTTAAAATTATGCTGAAAATTCTATAACTTACAATTCTATAACTTACAAGTTTTCGACCATTATGAAATAAAATATTAAGAAATAATAAATATTTACTAAAAAATTTTT